AACAAGTTATAATGACAACAAAATAATATGTAAACAAAAATATCAACATGATATAAAAGTACTAAATGAATTTATGCTTAAAATTTAGATTATCAATCTTGTTCTCCAGTTTAACGGCACTTTAATAGCGTCCTTGGAGTCATTGAGCAAGGCACTGTAGTCTCCAGTTCAGTCCTCAGATGATAAGTATGCAAAGAGTGTGTCTGCAGGTTTTGAAGTGACTGGAAACAGGCAGTATTTGTGGAGTAAAATTCAGGTTTATTTACACCTTGATGATCAGCAGTGGCCTTGAGTAAAAATATAACCAGTACGAATAATGGCCCAGGATTTAAAAAAAAAAATTTAAAAATACTATTGGTGGCAGTGAAATTATGGACTCATATTTTAGTCATCTGGTCCGTGAAGTGATATTTGGAAAGGGAAGCTGCTGTCTGGCCCTGCTATCCAAACAGGACGGGGATCCCCACCAGCTGAACACCGCGATAAGATCGTCTACTGTGCGAGTCCTGCAGGCATCAATCAGAGCTTCTACTTTATTATAAAAATCAAATTAGCTGACAAAACACAGACCAGATGTCAGGTCAGCAGATCTGATACAGATGTAAGCACTTTAAGTCATTTTTAGAACCACTCAGAAAGTCTTCTGATTGGATTACAACTCAAAGGGGGAGTAGAGGCAGCTTTTAAAACACCATTCAGGTAAGGTGAGACTGTGAGGCAAACAATGGAGGAGGAAGCTCGGCCCAGTAGTCCAACATAACAACTGACCTCAACTCCTAATGTGTCAATGATCAAAGATAATAGAGAGAAATGGGTGATTTCATAACAGCTTAAAACTTGAGGATACGTAGAGCATGAAGCATGAAGTTGGTCAATTCATTATTTGTACTTTATACTGCATACAGGCAGCATGCTGTGTTCATACAGGCAGTGGTGAGATTTAACTAAGCTAAGGAGTCCAACCCCTAAGTGCTATACCCAAGTTCAGTTTTGAGGAAAATATTGAACCCTGTCATGTAATCAACTGAATAGGTTCTGTAGTATTTTTATGGCTCAAGCAGCCTAGCAGTATATAAAGTAAGTAAAGTAAAGTAAGCAAGTTAATACTGGCAACACATTTACCAGCTGCAACATTAGTGATGCACACATGAATCATCAACATCAATAATTCTAATGTAATAATATAGAAATTGTTCTGTAATGGGCCATTCTGCATAATGACTATTTTTACTTTTCGTACTTTAAGTATAATTTAATGTTCATACTTTTGTATGTATATAATGTTCATTAGTGTATAATCACCTGAATATAGGACTCATCGTGTTTTTGTTCCCATTAGAATAAGCCGTTTTTAGTTACAGACGCCTCGTTTCTACAGTAGCCCAGAACAGACAAACCAAACACTGGCTCTGGATAGGGACTTTCATGGCCTCCTTCACACTTTACAGCCTGTTATACAGAATGACACCATCACCCATCAGTGTGTAAATGTATTTTACACACTCTGATTTCATCAGCTTTGTTTCACCACACTCCTCTCACCGGCAGATGGCAGTGTGTGTTCTCTAATCTCCACACTCTGAGCTTGTGTGCCGCTGTGGACTGTGTGTGGTAAAACCTAAAAAACCTTCATTGAGACATCAGCAGCAACAATCACATTCAGAGAGTTTGTTTTAACCACTTCCTGTCTTTAGTCCAGGAGCTCAACACTCGTTTAAAGACAGTGTGCGGCTTTAACATGTAATTACATATACATCATTAAATAAACTGATTTAGATTAGATTAGATTTGTATGAGAACTGAATTTGGGTTTGGAAGAATGTACTGTTGGACATATTGATAGCATTAGACATTGGATGATATGAGATGCTATGTCAGGATGAAATCAATGAATTTGGATGGAAAAAGTGAGTAAATCTACGTGGAGTTTGACTTTGAACACAAATATGTGACGTTGACCAATTAGAAACCGTCTTTGACAGCGCTGACCTTCGTGGGAAAGTACAGGAAAATATCATAAAAGCTTTGTTGCTCCGTCCAACTTTACATGACCCTGCTCTGCTGGAGTATAAAATACTTCATAAAAGAGAGGCCGCACAGTCTGCAGTACATCAGACCAGAGGGGATGGGACAATACAGTTACTGTCCAGTTAGCAACAAGTAGTCACTCCATCACCAAACAAAAGGATCTATTTCCTGAAGACATGGAAGCACTTTCTGCTGTTGCCTCGGGTTTCAGCTATAATATGTAACATTTCTGCATTAAAATGTCTATAAACACTCAACCTATGTTCTATATTTTGTTAAGTTGTGTACTTACATCATCCCAAATGTTTCCAACAATGTTCAAACCAAGATAAATCTGTAGTTTTATTAACTGGATCCATGTGAAAGCAGCATAAATCACAGAAAAATAAGAGACATCCCACAGACAGAAACAAATGAAAGAACATGGGGGTGTTAATATATAATCAGAATTCTCTGTATTGAGTGTTTTCTTAGTCATTGTTATTTGGGGTGCTTTAACTATGTGCTGTTACTCAGACCTCTCTGTACATGGAGCTGTTTTGTGTGTAACCGTCGTCTCCTCACAGCAGTTAATTTGTGTGTGTGCTTTGTTAATTACAGCAGTTTCTTTATTCTTTTATATTTTCTTTTATATGTTTTGCCTTTATTTGACAGGCCAGATCAAGATACGAAAAGGAGAGAGAGAGGGGATTACACGCAGCAAAGGGTAGGGGTTGAACCCGAACCCCTGGCCACCGCAACGAGGACTCAGCCTTGGTACATGGGGCACCAATTTCATGTTTTTTTTTTTTTACAGCATTTAATGGATAATGACAGCTGTAGAGTGACAGGAAGGGGTAGAGAGAGAGGATGACACGCAGCATGGGGCCACAGGTTGGAGTCCAACCCCTAAACACTGCAGCAAGGAGTCAGCCTTACATGGGGCACCAGTTCTACCAGGTGAGATACCGGGCGCACCAATTTTGTGATTTATTTTTGTCTTATCTGTGCAAGTTTAGTGTCTGTAATAACTGCACTAAACCTTGTGGGAATTTGCCCCTCAGTGGTTGCTCTGCCTCATATTCCCTGCACTGAAAAACCAGCTGCTAATGAATCCTCATAGGAAGAAGCTAAACTAAATCTAGCCTCACTGTGAAGACATAATATCTAATATATATAATATATTGCTAACAAGTGAAGTGCAGCGTGGTTTACTACATGGAATAAACAACCACGCTCCCTCAGCCTTTTCTATGTTAATATTTCATGTAAAGCCTGTCCAGTGAATGAACTTGTGGCTTTATTTTACAAGCCCTGTGTCACTTAAAATATGAAAAAGTGGGTGTGTTTGTTTCTTGGCTTGCACAGTCCTGTTATTTCTCTGCTCATTCAATCTTTCCCCTTTTTGACTTTTAAAATGTTTATTGTATTAAGTCTAAGAGCTGTGTGGGACAATTCCCCCAAAAGCACCACAAAGTAACTGAGAACCTGATGCAGGAAACTAATGACATAAATTGGTTTGAAGTTCAGGTTTATTAAAATCAGCAGCTTCCAGGGACAACACGACACAACACAACATTACAACAAAGGGAAGAAAATAAGAGCTCCAGAACATCCATGGACGCAGAGTCAGAGTGTTTTTGAAGTCGTTTAATAGCCTGTGTGCCTGTGTTTCAGAAAAAAGAAAGGAAAAGGATCAATGTGTCAACCTGTATCAGTCAATATTTTTGAGATTAAAGCTGATCGAATGACTGTGTGTAATGTGAAGGACGTTGCTCACAGTATCTAAATTAGAATTAAACAACTGCAGCTCTACGGAGCTTTTTAGCCTTTTTTTTTTTGCAGATTTACTGTCTGACTCAGTCTCAGTGTTTCCAAGTCCAACGTAATTATATTTATCCTGAAAAAGAGATGCCGTTGCTGTGAATTCCTCAAAGGCCTGCAAAGTTCATCAGGAATTTCAACGAAATCTTTCCAGAGTCGGCCAAATTCTAAACACTTTACGACACAAAGTTACACACCACCAACTATGTTGTTTTTGATTAAACTGAATCACGTTTTATGGAGAAAATGTTTTCTGGTTTTTCCAGCTGCTCTCTGTGATTTTCCTGTTGCACAAAAAGGTTTGATAACTGCTATGCTAACTTAGCCGTGCTGCTAGGACTGTCAGCTGACAGCATGGGAGGAGTGTTGATGTTGTTGTGAGCAAAGCAGCTTTGAACCACCGGGCGGAGGAGGTTTTCAGGCCTGGGG